AGAACTGCCATCTGCTGACAAGATAGGCTTGACAACATAAAAGTAAAGCTTTGATTATCCAAACTTACTTTTGAATTTTCATGGTCTTTTTTTAAAATCTGGCATAGACATCTGACCTAATTAGTAGGCCTTTCTTTCAAGTAATATGCCTATGTCACCTTTTAAGCCACACACACACACACACACACAAGTTATCATGTGCCTATCTCTTCATTGTGATAACAATTTCAGATTTCTAATGAAACCAAAGATCATTAAGTTTCACATGGAAGAGTTTATTAATAATTCTGGATATCCACAATTAAGTACTGGCTCACAAATCTATAGACTCAGTTTTTTCAGGCCACTATAAATGAGGTTTTTCTCCATTATGTTGCCCATATACTTCTGAAATTACAAAATATACATCCCTGCCAAAGTTCTTTCTATATTTTCCTTTAAAACAAACCCTTTGGGTCTCTATAATAAAGCTTAACAACATATAAGTACTGTAGTGATAATATGTACGTTGCTCCTATTATACTTGATGTCAACACCATAGGTCTCCCTTTTAAAAAGCAGCCATGCCAAATAGGGTCTTTTCAGGATGTTAGTAAAAGCCCACCAATACATGGTTTACTTACAGCATCTGACCCTTCACAGCACTTTTTAAAATCGCTACTAAACAAATGCATTTGCTAGGTATAATGGAATCAACATTTAGACAGAGAATCAGATTTCATTTCTAGTGTAAATGCTGCCTAAGCCAAATCACAAACTTACCGCAACCTCTGGTTTTATCACATGCAATATGAAAGAACTGGATGAGCACTAAATCTTCATGATTATGCTGTGATAACTTCAACTACTCATTCAACAAATATTTATAGAAAAACTAGGTGCTACGCATTGGTGTTACAAGTATGAATAAGGCACCTTACGTTTTGCTGGGGGATACATAATTTTGTTTACTGGTTAAGTTCCACAAAGGATAACGGAACTAATGCAGATCTGGTAAAGTTTCCCTAAGGATTAAACATTTGGGCTGGGACTTGGTGAGAGGAGCCAGCCATGTGAAGTTCTTGGGAGAAGAGAATGCTAGGTAGAGGAGCAACTGCAAAGAAAATTCACCTTTGTGTCTTCCCCAATGTGTGATGCTTACTTTATTCAAAATCTGGCTTCAAACTGTTTTCCATACAATGAAGTCTTCTGTGATTAACCCTACTTTCAAATTATGGCTTCAGTGCTCAGTTATTTATAGCCACAGTTTTAAATTCATGGTTCTAAAAATGTTAATTATTAACTGTTCTGTGTTTATTCTAGTCTCACAATAAGTCAAAAATTTCAAGGAGTCAGGGCACCTGGTTGGCTGGCTCAGTGGGCCTTCGGCTCAGGTCACGATCCCAGGGTCCTGGGATGGAGCCTCGCATCAGGCTCTCTGCTCAGCAGGGAGCCTGCTTCCTCCTTTCTCTCTCTCTCTCTCTGCCTGCCTCTCCACCTACTTGTGATCTCTGTCAAATAAATAAATAAAATCTTAAAAAAAAATTTTTTTTTTAAAAAAAGGAGAGTATCCTAGCATTCTTCTATTCATCTTTCACAGTACTTTAGCTGTATTGTACACAGAAGAGAATGTTCACTAAATGTGTAGGACCAACCACCATAAAGAAAATCAGTATTTTGTTTCTCCATTCTCAGAATAAGGTTTGGTCAGAGTGCTTCACTGTAAATCTAGTAGAAAGAGCAACTGACTCAGGAGTGAGATATCTCAAATTCAAATTTCCCAGCTCTACCATTTACTTAGGTATGAGGCTTCTAGTAATTGATTCTAGTAAATCAAACTCTATGACCATTTGTCAGAATCTGTAAAATAGGGAAATTTGTCTTGTTTAACCAGGGTTAGTTACCAACTACATTCCACAAGAGATCATGTAAAGCTTACTGTGGAAACAGAGCAAAAATACTAGAAATAATAAAAGTGTTTTCATTTTAGAACTGGAAGACACCTTAAATGATCCTATTTAAAGATTTTTATTTATTCATTTGACAGAGAGAGATCACAAGTAGGCAGAGAGGCAGGCAGAGAGAGAGGAAGGGAAGCAGGCTCCCTGCTGAGCAGAGAGCCTGATGCGGGGCTCTATCCCAGGACCCTAAGATCATGACCTGAGCCAAAGGCAGAGGCTTTAACCCACTGAGCCACCCAGGTGCCCCTTAAATGATCATATTTAATCCTTCAGTTCACATGAAAAGTCAGAGACTCAGAAAAATTAAGTTACCTGTTCAAGGCTACTGAAATATATTACGCTAGAATCAGTGCGGCATTCAATTTTTTAAAATACCCAGTCCAGCACACTTTTAACTACACCACACTGCTTTTACCACTTTTGCAACCTTGTCTTCAATGTACATACCTCACTATTTATTCTAACATTCTCTTCACTCAGATCCAGAATGGTAAAAACCAGGTGGCTTAAAAACAAAACAAAACAAAACAAAACAAAACAAAACACAAAAATAATAAAAAAAACCCCAAAACCCCAAAACCTATATAAGTTTCTGAGGCTGAGACCTCACATAATTTGATATCAGAACTGAATTTAGGAAGTGCTGCCCTGATATTACTGAGTCACAAGATTAGGAATGTAAGGATTACAATCAGCTGATGCCTTAAAAATATGCATCTACGAAATGACTGCATATTTGGCTTGTGGTTGGAGTATTTTTCTTACACAGTTTCTATCTGTATCAATATAATGCTGCTTCAATTACACTGTTACTTAAGAAATACAAATTTAATTTTATTTATAGACAATGTATTTGTATAATATGAAATACTAAAAGCAATGTAAAATACTTTTTGTTTCTGGTCATCTTTCTTTGCTCTCTTATTTTTGATTTTAATCTAGAAGCAAAATCTAAGTTCAGAAATAGTTATTAACTAAATACCTATAGTAAACGCTGGATTATAGAACACTGTTTTAATGTGTGCGAATGAATGTAATGGGAATTACGTATGTTTTCAACAACAGAAAGGTCCAAATTCAATCTTTAAAGTGAAAATAAACTGGGTATTAAAAAAATGAAAACTAAACTAGATAACCAACTAGTATTAGAAATTTTCATCTGAAAACAAAAATTTACTCCTCAGGAATATCCTAAGTATACTAAAGAAAGGTTGAAACAATATCTAAACTGAAAGAAATATCTTTAGAAATGTAAAACTTTATCAGAAGTTAGACGGTTTTCTGGGAAGAGCAGTAAAATGATGAATGTCCCCTCACTAACTTCCATTCTTCCAAGAAGCAATAATGTAAAATGCTTTAGAAAATAGTGTGAGAAAATGAAGGCTGTAAGAATCAAATGATGTAAGTCTGTGAAAGCATTTGGTAGACGGTGAAGTACAAGTTATTATTATATAACAATTTGTAGTCTACAAGTACAGCAGTTTGCCACAGAGTAGACGTAAATGCTTATTTAAAAACTGCAATTCTTTTATACTGACTCACTGAATTTTTATTCTTAAAAAAGAAAGCCATGAAAGCAGATCAACTATCCACTTCTGAAAAAGGAATTTATCATAGCCTCAATAGAAAACACACACCCCCATGATCACAAAAAAATTCCCCCCTCTTTTCAAAATCTAGGGCCTTCTTTTAGCCACGTGACCTTAAAGAAGGTTACTGTTCCTCTCTAGAACTCAGTTTCCTAGTAGTTAGTGTCAGGTACTGTGTTGGGTGTTTTGATTTTATTGCATAATAGGAAGTACACAGATAAAATTACATAGAAATTATTATCCCTGTTTCATAGTTAAAGGATAAAGCTATAATGCTCAAAGGGATTAGTTAGGAAACTGGCTTCAAATCACATGGCTAACTCCAAAAGCCTTGTTTATGCTACCTTGCAAAATGAGGCTGTTCTCAACGATTACTTTATGCCACAAAAAGATATGATTAAGGAATCCATTTTTCTTCCAAAACATGAATAGAAAAAAATTATTTGTTGAATGATAATTATCTCACTACTTTAGCTTGCCACTGTCTAAAAAGAATTTTGGATTTTCAAAGTAGAGATGATTCGCTGAAAGTCTGCAACATAGGACACACAGTGTTCTTTATGGCATATATACTGCAAAGTATTTAACAAATTTTAAAAATGAAGAATAAATGATAACTGAAAGATACTATTTTCAGCTAAAGGTTTAACACTTTCTAAAGTGCATCTTTAAAATATGTACAGTTTTTACTTCTCTAAATTTTGTGGTCCTTAGAATCAATCTACTCTGTATATTTATAAACAAACAATATGTTAAAAGCACATTATTATCTTTCTCTAAAATTTCTTATTACAGAATGAAGAATGGATTTGGGTTTTCTAATAGTGATTTCTGGTTTGGTGTTATATTGCGGTTGTCACCGAAATCATTAACTATCTCTTCGGAATATAATACCTTGAAGCAGTTTTTCATCATAGTCTACATTACTAACAGTAAAATTTATCCAAATCAGTCCAACTGAAGGTAGAACATTTAATATCATGAATACTACTCTACAGAATCAGCGAAAGTGAGGAATCATTCGGTAGCTGGGGAAACAGTTTATTTAACAAGCATTTACGTACCAGGCACTGAGCTATAAGTCAAACATAATACAATCGTTGGCCCTTCAGACAAGTCTCAATGAACGGAAACTCCAAAACGGCCATGGTCTTTGATGAATTTACCCCCCCCCCCCCGCCACACAAACACATATATACAAAAGAACTGGTGGACCACACCATCTCACCAGTTGAGCTGTTTGAGATAACCGAACTCCAGGCACCGGACCAAACACAAGAGTGCCGCAAGTAAGGAAAAAGCAAGCTTCCCCAGGACATCTGAAAGCAAAGTCCGCTCTATACCTAGCCTGTGTGGGGACTCCCGAGTGGACCCGAAGGGGCCCTGAGAATCAGAGGGGCCAGGGGAAGCCTTAAAGAGTCGGCACCACCCAAAGGCCGGTTCCGGTGCCCCCGTGTTAGACTTCACTCACCTCTTCCACCTCGATTTCCTTGTAATCGATCTCTTCAAAGTTGAGGACTTGGGAGGGGGCTTCGATCATCTCACCGGCCGAAGACGAAGAAGAGGAGGAAGCGGCGGAGGCTGTAGACATGATCCCTCACGGAGCCCGGGGGGCCCGGGAAGGCTGCCACCCCGAGACTCCGGGGGAGAGCCGCGCCCACCCGTCTCCGGACCGACCTTCAGACTGAAGCCACGGCGATCCGTGGCGGGGACAGGGACAGCGGCCACAGCCGAGTCCCGGCTCCGGCTCCTCTGCGTTTTCCGCCGCCGGGCCCGCCCACCGGACTTCCGGTTCCGGCCTGAAATCGGAAATAGGTGGAGGGTTGGGAGCTCCAGAAAGGGGAGGGGAGAATTTTGTGACTGAGACTGGGAAAGGAAGGGCAGATTGGGGGTGGGGTAGGGGAGAGTGAGTGGCCGGCTTGGAACTGTAGAACAAATTTCGCGAGATCTTTATTAAGGGGCTGCAGCATCGGGTGATACCGCGAGAGCTGATGCCTGACGTAATTAAAATGCGCGAACGGAAGTGGCGCAGAGTACGACGGTATATTAATGCGGTTGGTTGTTCAGACACCCGCGGGAAAGATAAAAACTAAGTTTTCAACTCTGCTTGGTAAACTGTGTTGTATCTCCCCTCCGTTTTCTCTCAGAGACCTGCGGACAGACGGGCTAGTGTTGGACTAAGTTTTTGTGACGAAGCTTTTCAGTTTCACCTCTAAGCTAAACCGAACTATATCTTTAAGAAGTCATGGGAAATGTGTTTCCCTCAATGCGGTGTAGGCAAGAAAGCGGTTGCTGCTGTTACTTTGAGCCAGTACTTGATGCTATGAGAGATTCTAAAGAAAATAATACAGAGCGAGCCAACGCATGTAACCTGAATAACTGTAGGCTGAGTGCACACGAACAGAAGTTAATATTAGGTAAGGTAGATATTTATAACTTGTATTCATCTGAAGTTATGGGTTGTATCTATAGTACTTATCGAGTGCGGAGCACCCAGATGCTTTGTGTTTATAATTTAATCATTAATATCCTTGCAAATTAAATATTTTGGCTGCCATTTTAAGGATATGAGAAAATAAGCTTAGAGAGAGGAAAAAGATTATGAATATCACAGGCTATAAGAAGCTAGGTCAGTGTAGCTCCAAGGTGTTGCCTGTGTTGTGCTATTAATTCAATTTTTAGTTTTAAACTAGCTTTTAAACTTTATTTAGTCGATTTGACCTAAAACTGAACTGGTAGAATTGGAGTTAGAAATGAAGGCTTAAGGACCAAGGATGAAACCCTATAGTTGTCAAATTCTAAGACTCAGTAAGGTAAGAGACAGAAAAGGAACAGTCAGAACAGGGAAAGAGAGGGGAATGGTGATGGGAATATCACTGGAGGAGAGCTTTCCAATTAAAGAGTAGCCAACCCTGGGCGCCTGGGTGGCTCAGTGGGTTAAGCCTCTGCCTTTGGCTCAGGTCATGATCTCGGGGTTCTGGGATCGAGTCCCGCATCGGGCTCTCTGCTCTGCAGGGAGCCTGCTTCCTCCTCTCTCTCTCTGCCTGCCTCTCTGCCTACTTGTGATCTCTGTCGAATAAATAAATAAAATCTTAAAAAAAAAAAAAGTAGCCAACCCAGTAAATGCTGTACAGAAGTAAGAAACATATTTGGGATAACAAATGGGTGATTGGATTTGGAAATTAAGTTTTGAACTGAAAAACATGTCATTTTTGTAGTTCTGGTAATAATGATAGTTTGGTGAGTGGCTATAAAAAGAGTGAAAGAATTTCTTCTCCACATACACCCTGGATGATACACAGTGTCTTGGATACCTAGACCACTTTTATGATGATGCCCAATCTCTCCCAATGCTCAAATATTACCTGCATTCCCAGCCTATTGAACATCTTTATTTAGGTGTGACGTAAACACCTAAACTTCAAGATTCCAAAAGCAAATGCAAAAATTACCCAGTACAAATATGTTTTTCTGTGTGCATTTTCTGTCTCTGTGAAGGATAATATCCATCTACTCGTTTGTCCAAGTGAAAAATCAGAGCTTTATTTATACATTTAAAATGATGCTTAGTGCACTAATAACTAAATAAAAACAGATTAAGTCAATGGGATAACCATGTTCACCTGTCATTTTGGATTTCCCAAATTAGGATGGTCATCTCTTACCTCATGCTATCACTCTGCAGGTCATTACTGATTTCTCTTTAACACTTAGATCTTAATTCAGTGGGTTTACTAAGTGGAAGCTCAAGAAATGTTTGTTCTGTGTTCTGGTTGAATGAATGGTTTTACTAATTCTCCCTTTGCCTGGGGTGTAAGGTCTCTTTTCTGTACCTTCAGTTTAGAACTAGTATTCTGCTGACAAGGGACTAATCCTTATAGCCATGATGCTATTCTGCTTGATTTCCTCTACCCGCCCCCAACATATTGTTGGGAAAAAAAAATTAAACATACAGAAAATATGAAAGAATTTTACAGTGAACTCCTATATACTTACCATCAAGATTCTAGCATTAACATTTTACTCTACTTGATTTATTCTATATTTGTCCGTCTATTTATTTATTTTTTTTGTTTTTTGGTTTTGTTTTGTTTTTGTCTCCCCCCCCCCATCTATTTAACCATGCACACATACTTCTATCATTTTTTTTGGTGGATGCATTTCAAAGTGAACTTCCTACATGATTTTGAAATCTCCAGTATTTCTGCTTCTATATTTTATCCATTGATTTGGACTTATGATACTGATACTAGTCTAAAGTCAGTTCCCCTGTGTGCTCACAGACTGCTTTTTATGGGGGTACAGGGCAAGCAGGTAGGTCTGCCTGGAACCTTTTCACTAGCTTCTCATAACGTCCCAGCACTGATCATGTCTGGATCCAGTCATCCCCAAAGTCCAGATCACCTCCTGTGATTGGATTATGTGGATGGTAAATTTCCATTTTTCAATTAAGCCAAGCCAAGTTGTATTTTTGTCACTTGCAATCAAAGATTCCTGAGTAATTCAGTTTGAATCCAGAGAAATGAGGGGGTGGGGCTGAACTTATCTTAATTCACCTCAATTTTTAATTTGTATTCCCTTTAACTTCTTTAACTTTCATGAGTTGAGAATTGATGGTTGGACCTCACAATTTGAATTTTATTTACCAGTCTAATTTGTCTACACACATTTCCAGAGATATAAGTAAGGTTTTAAAGGAGCTTCTTCTTTTTTTTTTTTTAAGATTTTATTTATTTCTTTGACAGAGACAGATCACAAGTAGGCAGAGAGGCAGGCAGAGGGAGAGGGGGAAGCAGGCTCCCCGCCGAGCAGAGAGCCCGATGCGGGGCCCGATCCCAGGACCCTGAGATCATGACCTGAGCCGAAGGCAGAGGCTTTAACCCACTGAGCCACCCAGGCACCCTTTAAAGGAACTTCTTGATGTTTCTCTCAATTTGAGCACTCTCCACCAACCACCCTCATGTCAGTGGCCTAATCACTACTCTTTAACCTTCAACCTTGTCTTCAATTTTAACTCTTCTGCACTATCCATGGGATGAGGACCAAGAGTTTTGAAATCCATTTCCCACTCTCTCTTTGCATGTTTTAAGTAGGAATATCATCCTACTTGGCTCATTTTGGTATGAAGATATCTGGCACCTAATTTCATGGCGACTTAGCAGAAACAGACTAAAACAGTTCCACTTTAGTGTTCTGTTGCATCGGCATGTATAATACATCAGGTAATGAATTCCATATTTTGTCAGTTAATGACGTTTGTTATAAATGATAGGAAACTCAATACATAATGGCTTAATAAAAGGAATTTATTTACTTAGTTAAGTGGAAAGTTGAGCTAGAACAGGTTTTGGTGTATAAACCTTGATTCATAAACTTAGTGATAGCATCAATAATTTACTTCCATTGTTGTCTTCTGCCTTTTGTGGTATTTGCCATTGCTCTAGAACATTGTTTCTCTATCTTTTTATCTTTAATGCTCCCTCAAAGAGCCTTTTAAAATTTTTTTTCTCAATGCTCCCCCCCCCAAGTTTTAATACCACAGATATGGTGCATATCTGTTTATGGATTGTATGCCCATTTTATGCTTTATACACAAAGAAAGTAAGACTTTTTTCTCTCTCTCCAATTTTCACCCCCATTGAGAATGTAGGCTCTAGAAATTTCACTGTTCAGTTACATACACTCCAGTACAATGACAGAGTATCTCTTTTGGTGGCTATTTCAGAAGAGCATGGAACTTCTGTTTTCAAAAAGTTCTTGGCAACTGTACCCTTGAGTGACCAGTAGGGCACAGGAGGTTTGAGGTTGAAAATATCTTGTATAACTTAGACTGAGGATTCAAAGAGTCATGGGCTATGAGAAGGAGGAGCTCCCAACCAGAAGAAAAATCTAGAAAAAGCAGGGAATGTTTGTTTGGTTTGCAACCAACAAATGTTCATTATTCGTATGTCTATTCTAATTGAGCTAAGTGTCTAGAAAGTATTATCCTTACTGCCTGTCCTAGAAACAAACTAGCCCAACCTGATCAAATATTCTTTCCAGGTAGTTCAGAAATAGATTTCTGTTCAAATATTCAAAAGTGCAATACACAAAGGATAGCCAATGACTTTGTAATTCAGTGACACTGCTGGAGAGCAGCTCCCCAAATTCATGCATTTCTTAAATATTTGAGTTTATCCATATTTGCTACTCCCGACATCTTTATCCTAGGTCTTTAGCAGCCCATGGGGCTGCAGAAAGGGTTTGTGTTTCAGATGCCCACAGTGTGGAGGGTAAAGTTAGACCTCTACTACCTGAGGGAGTAGTAGAGGTAGGTACAGTTCTAAAGCATTCTCGACATTACATATAACAGACATTTCTGTTTGTAGCTAACTAATGTTTTAATTTTTACTCCCTCAGCTAAGCTGGCTGTAAGACAACTGCCTTGATGGTGCCATTATGTCCTGCAGATAAAATCTCCCTTGTTTTTGAAATATTTGATAAGAAAAAGTTCAACTGGTTTCAAAATCCATTCATAGTATTATAAAAATTTGAACATTACATTTGTATTTTAAAAAGAGGAAGAGCTGTTGGAGTCTTAAATATGATTGTAATTGTTGCAAATTTTAAAAATGGCTCTAAAAGTATTTAAACACTTTTTTCATTTCTTTGTGTGAACAAAGTTTCTCTTTGATGACGACTATCAAGAGTTTGAAGGGAACATCCTTAAAGGTCTAATCAGGAATTGATAGTAGGCATTTTAAGCAAAAATCTTATAGTAAA